TGGGGATTTCTTGCTAACTCAGTATGCCTCCCATTTCTGGCCCTTCTACCATTATTAATGAAGATTATTTACAAAAGTCATATACAGTGCCTACTGAAACAAACAAAATTTGAGCTTTTACAAAGGGGTCATCCTCTTTATGGACAGTTCTCTCTCTCTCTCTCTCTCTCTCTCTCTCTCTCTCTCTCTGTCTCTCCATGTTTTATGAATATATAGTTCTCCTTTTGTGTCTGTAGATGTTCTTGAATGACTACGATGAGCTTCCCCTCCCGGCTCTGACCTACTTAACAGGGGAATGTAACTACGGAGGTCGAGTGACGGACGACAAAGATCGCCGTCTCCTTATGTCCATTCTCTCCATCTTCTACACGGAGCAAATCATCACCAACCCAGACTACAAGTAATTATGCTTAAAATAGAGGTCTTTTGTAATGAATAGAAGCAGTTCAAGGGATATTACTTGATAATCAGTCAAATTTTATTTTAACTAGAAATTTTATAATACCAACTGTCCTAGAGATGCAAAAAAAAATGAGTTATAAAATTTTTAACATTAATTTATGATTTTGTCAAGAGACTGAAGAAAATGAGCCTAAAGGATTAAACAGCCCACCCCCCCCCCCCCCTCCCTCCCCAATCTTCAACCCGCTTGATGATTATCCTGTTTGCTTTTTCTTAGATTCTCCCCTAGTGGTTTATACTATGCCCCAGAGGAAGGCCCACACCAGAGTTATATAGATTATGTCAGGACGCTCCCCCTGAATCCACTCCCGGAAGTGTTTGGTCTTCACGAGAATGCCGACATCACAAAGGACAACCAGGAAACACAGCTGGTAATGTCATACTGTAAACCTCAGATATAATAAAGAAGGTTTTACTGCAAATCTTATTTAAATCTTGAGAGCTAATACATTCACTTGAAGCCCAATTTTTTATTTGTAAAATCACACAATATGTCTATGATTAACAGATTTTGACTTTAAAGAATATATCAGAGAGAGAAATTGAATGTCCAATATCAGTGTTAATGATTTCTTATTTCAGCTGTTTGATAACATTCTGTTGACCCTCCCTCGACAAGCCAACAAGGGAGGGAAATCAACAGCTGACGTCATCCAGGACCTGGCCGCAGATATCCTGGGGAAACTACCCAAAGATTATGATATGGAATTTGTACGTATTCCCAATAGTATCAGAATTCAAATAATTCAATAAGATACATGTATATCTCATATACCATTCAAGTATTTATCAGAATTAAATTTCTGTCTTATAAATTTTCAGCTCATCTTAGTGAAATGAGCTTTGAAATCATTGAATACTTAGGTTTAACAGTGTTTTAGATTGCAGATATATGTAATAACAATTTCTTTTAACATCTTGCAGGTCATGAAAAAATACCCAGTGTTGTACAATGAGTCCATGAACACAGTATTGAGACAGGAACTTATTCGCTTCAACCGTCTGACATCCGTGGTTCGCCAGTCGCTCATTAACCTACAGAAGGCCATCAAAGGTCTGGTGGTCATGTCATCAGAGTTAGAGGAGGTGTTCCAGAGCATGCTCATAGGAAAGGTCCCAGCTGTATGGGCGGCTAAGTCTTACCCCTCTCTCAAACCTCTGGGAAGCTACATCAATGATCTCATAGCTAGGTAAGAAAATCATCGATAGTACCATCTTGTTTTATATCATAGATTTTTGCTATAAATATTCTTTGATTAGCAAAAAGTGTGCATGTGCTGCAAAGATGTCTGTTGCAATTTGAAGATAAATGCTGCAATCTGAAGTTTTTTTGAGCTTTAATTATATCTTTTGTAGATTGAAGTTTTTCAGCGATTGGATTGACCATGGTGCCCCACCCACTTTCTGGTTGTCTGGGTTCTATTTCACACAGTCCTTCTTGACAGGTTTGCAGATTTTTTTCACGGTGGGGATGGTAGGGGGGATCATTTTTATTTTTTATTAAACGATGTAGATTGTTCTTTAGGAAATTATTATTAAAAATTTCTTCATCTGATACAGGTGTCTCCCAGAATTATGCCAGAAAGTATACCATTCCTATTGATACAGTTGGCTTTGAATTTGCAATCTTGAAAGAGGAAAGACATATGGAGACCAAACCAGAGGATGGTGCTTATGTATATGTAAGTCATGAAAGGAATACCCCATATTGATCAATAACTAGCAATGCTGACAACTAAAAGGGCCTTAGGCCAACTTAAAAAATTCTCTTTGCAATTGCAAAGAGCAGTGTCTAGGTACTTTTTAGTGGATTGGTAGGCAATGGCAAACAAACAAATTTTTATGATAAATATACATATACATGTCAAAGAATTCTTAATTTTTTTTTATCATGCAATGTAATATTTACAGGGCCCTTCTTTATGCAATTTAATGTATTGTTGATCTTTACAGGGTTTGTTCCTGGAGGGGGCACGCTGGGACAGGGACACTATGCTGATTGGAGAGTCCCTCCCCAAAATCCTCTTTGACCAGATGCCATGTGTATCCTTTTTCATACCATTCTGTTCATAACATCCTGATAAAATCATGTTAAGAAGAATAGAAAAAGAGCAAGGTACAGTTTCAATACAAATAAAGCCCTATATTTTTCTAAAATATTAAAGTGATATTAGAAATCAAAATTCATTCTTTCTAAATCATAGGAATTCTCTGCAGTAAGAATACACAAATCGTTTTTCTCATATGACCTCCTAAATGCTAATTGTGACATCATTAACTTGTGCATTTTCCCGTATTTTCTTAGAAAGTTGCAGAAGACATCAATTTTCAGTGGAATTTTCATTCAGAAAACATACTCTGCCACCGTCGCCCAAAGAGATTTTGAGATATGTGATTTTTCATAACAGTTTACATAATATATCCAAAAATTAAAGTGGGCGACGGTGGCAGAAACTATTTTCTAAAAGAAAATTAGCACAGAAATGAGTCATTTTGAGGTTTTTCTGCATTAAACTTAGAAATGTACCAAATTAATGATGTCATATTTCCAGAAAGGTCCTCCTTCATGCCATATTCTTTAATGATTTATCATATTCATCTACTCAACTATTGTTAAAGCCAATTTCATAACTTTTTAAGAACATTAAATTTTTAGGGCACAATAAAGCTCAAACTGTACCTTCTTCTTTAAATACTTAAAATGACAAAAAGTGATTCTTTCAAATACCACCTGAAGATAACGCATGCAGAATATCGATAAGCTGCATTTTCCATTATCTGTTTCATTCAATTTTTGCTTTATTCTAATACACATACATGTAAACTGATGAAGATACTAGCTATAATATTATATGCAATGTATATCATTTATGCAAATATTCCTCCTTAACTCCAATATTAGATCTGGTTGCAGCCCAACAGAATTGAGGACTTTGCTGACAAGAAGACCTACCGCTGCCCTGTGTACAAGACCAGTGCCAGGAGAGGTGTATTGTCCACCACTGGTCACTCCACAAACTTTGTGCTATTTATTGAACTCCCCACAGACAAATCTCAAAACCACTGGATCAACCGAGGCGTGGCCAGTCTCTGTCAGCTGGATGACTGAGCAGTGATCCATGACTGTTGCTATGGAAACACAAGATTTTTTTTTATATGAAGATGCATTCACACCGATTTTGTCTGTTTTTCATGAAAAATATACAGTCATTAAAAAAAAATGTTAAATAATTCCATGTCGTATTTGTGCCAATCCATTACTTTGTTAGTTTTAATTTATACCTGTAGGAAATCCTATGTTACAGTGATAATAACTGTGTGATAATAATGTTTAAAGCTATTATTTTTTTCCTATAATATTATATATATCATAGTCTCTGCTGAGTACAATGTGACGTCTGCTGATCTGTCCATATTTTTAAAAATATTATTTATAGTGTGTGTGCCTTCATTCTCACCATTGTTGTGACATAATGGGATCAAATTTACAAATTTTGAATATTATAAACCGTCCTTGAATTTGTAGAGAAAACCATGCATTGTAATCAAAGAGGACATTCTTCACTGGCATTACAATAATATTAATATTGTTTATTACATGTAATTTGTAATTCCTCAGCTATTTTGTGCTGAAATCTAACTGTGATATTTCCAACAATTATATATAATGTATACATGTGTTTACTTGTTAACTGTTTTGTGAGGTAGAATACATTCTATGCCTGTATCAAGTGTTATTTGTATCCCATTTTGAGTCACTTTATATCTTAAATGATCAATTTGCTGCTCTTTTTCCTTCACTACTTCAATACAAACTGATTTGTATAAAAAGAATGATTTAATTGATCATTATGGTTTTTAAAGCAAAAAAAAAAAACTTGTGTGCCTTTAAAATTTTTTTTTTTCAGCAGGTACATATAAATATTTGCAGTGATAATGCAGTCTTCCCTTTGATATTTTAAAAGTTTTGACTGCTGTAAACCTTACATTAAACTGCTTCACTTTTCTCATGTTGTTTGATACAGTTGGCTGTGAATAAAAGTAAAAAAAAATTATATATTGAGATTTTTATTTGAAAATTCTCTTTGATACAGCGATTTTGAAGTCATTCTGGTTACCATTTACATAGTTACTTTGGGAGGATACTTGGGGTATTTATAAGTCTCCTACTAGAGGGGACTATATGTTTCCTTTCCTTTTTTGTTTGTCTTTTACTCTGTTAGCCAGTCTTTCACACTAATTTAGCTAAGATCATCAATTCCTGCATTTAAAAAAATGTGAAATTCCCAACTAGTAACAATTATCTTTGGTGTGTCAAAGTTTCAAGAGCTATTTCATTAGTTGAAACACATTACATGCATTCCCAAATTTGGTTCCATGACCTGCTTTTGATCCAGGAATAACTACATCAAGTAGATGCATTACTGAAAAGTTTCTTCAAGTACTCATCTAATCTACCAGTTTACAATCTGATATTTTCATCAAAAGAAACATGAACAATAATTATCATGTGTTATATTTAATAAATGTATATTAAACAAAATTATCTAAAAATTACATTTTGCTGATATTATAAATACAGTTGATATACATGATGTTTCTTTTAAAAAATCCAATTATTATATGAAATTTTTCCCAGAAAAAAATGTACATGTAGTATGCAAGTTAAATCGAATTTTTTTCCCGCAAATTACATGTATACCAACTAAAATTGTTTTGTTTTGTTTTTGTTTTTTTTGGTAAACCAAATATATGCACATTTTTACAACTTTGAATCATAGGTATTTTGTATGTAAACTATCAAAACAGAGGCAATATAAAATTGGTCATGAAATAACTATATGAATAAAAATGAAAATGAATTTCCTATCACAAATACACTCATTTCCAAAGTAGGTTTTATCTGAAAATATATACATAATAAAAATGCATGTATAAAAATTTAATCAAACCTTTTTATGAGCTTTATACAGAGACATGATTTTAGATGTTTGTTCTTAAAAAAACATTCAAGCCTTTTGAAGGAGAAGCTATAATGTACTGTGCTAAGTTTACAAAATGTGATTAAAATATGAAAAAAAATCTACATCTCCACTATATATATATATTCATGTACAATATGGAATGTTGATAGTATGTATATCAAAATATCTTCTCATTATATACAGGATTTTGTCTCTCTTTCACACTATGATTGTCTCTTCATTGCTGTGTTGTGGTTTCTCCATATTAACCATCGATTTTTAAATAAAGTTCAATTTAGGCAATATGGAAATATATACATGTACCTCCAATATTGACAAAAGCACTTTGATAAAAAAAAGGAGGGATTTTGATTTTAACTCAAATGTATGATTTAAAAATCCCATCACAACAATGAAAAAGAAAATCAGAATTTTTAACAATCATTCATTTTCAAATAAAATAACAAACACACAAAATACACACAGCATTAAGAATATATACACCTGATATGTTTTGATATGGTGTGGGGGCAACATGCTACCCCTTGGTTTAAGCAATAGCTTGCAAACCTTGCATCCACATTCAGAATCATTCTCACTCTATATAATCACAAATTTTCTCCTCATTCACACATCTTACTGATTACAAGCATTTAATCATGCACATTGATTACCTTTTTATAACTTTTCACAAAAAAATTATCATTCAGAATTCACTTGATACATATAAAGCATCATAATTGCTCTTCACACTACATCAACTACACAGGCCTTGTATACAACATCTTGTGTATAAAATTTTATCACAAATTTATTTCGGGATTATTGGACGTTGAAGATTATTATATTTAAATGAGTCAGTATTCTTTGGGAATCATGGTTTATTATGGAAAAAATCATTACAATCAAATGTAATTTGAAAAAAATAAAATCATGTTGAAAAATAAAAAAAAAACCCAACTTCTGAGTACACCTAATCAATTGAGAATAACAAGAAAGTGTCAAAGATAGTACGATTACTAATTAAGATGTCATTAATTGAAACCACTAAATAAATTAACGTTTACAGGTTTGCATAGGGGAAAAGTGATGGGGATGCTTTTTAATCACATCGCCTTTTCTTTCAAAACTACTTGCTAACCAATATACTTCATACAAAACTAGAAATTTTTAATATAATATTTTAAATTTTATCATAATTTATCAACAAATTTCCTATGCTCTGTCAAAGCTAGATAAAAAAACAAATATTTAGAAAATTTTCTGTAAGGGAATGATGAATCTGACTCTTAGATAATTATGTTTTGGTTATAGGAATCTTCGGAGCAAATATCCAACAAAAACCATGGCAACAGCTGTAAATGACATCTTCACTTGTCCGGCTCCGTTACAATTGTTCGATTCACAGTAGCAGATCTCCTTAAATACACCCACTGTATCCCACTGCCAACGGCAACCCCAAGCCACTCCTGAAATTAATTTACATACAAATAAATGCAATGTTACATAAAATTGAAAGGCATACTTAGAATTAAATTCGTCAACAGGGATGTGTTGTGAGATAAGTTTTATAGTCTTCCAATCTTAACAAAAGACAATGTCTCAATATTTCACTAAGTTTTTTTTTATTCATTTATTATGTATAGATATGCAAGTCAATCTGATATACTTAGGTTTTAATATTAAGCTTTAAGAAAAATGCCTCAAATTCAAGGATATATACAGTCAAACCTTGTTATCTCAACTCAATGGGACCATTGAGATAACAAAGCTATCTCCAGATTTCAAGATCGACAGAGCTTTTATGTCTTATACATACCCTGATCTGTCCTTGACCCACATCTTCTTGTGATCTTTTTCCAACCTCTCCCTTCATGAAAAAATAATACAATTTTAATGTTCCCAAACAACAGAGAACATATACGAATATTTTGATACATGCTTACAGAAATTGTTCCAAGTTGTTCACTTGAGTTATATACATGAGATGACAATTGCACATTAGTTTCATGTAGTTTGATTTTTTTTAAAAATAATTTTTATTAAGATATTGTGTAAAAAGTGTAAAAATATTTACATCCTGGACTTTCCTGGGTGATTTTCATACAGAACTGTCCAGGGGTGTTGGCCTCGAAGCTGTTGCAGTTGATGGGTGCATTAACTTCTTTATCAAAGGCCTCATAGGATGGACATGACAAATCTTCATTACTGTCACATTGGTAACACTGAATTGCTTGGGCTGAAATATTAAACAATCAAAACTTCAAAAAATATATCTTTTTAATTCAGATTATGATGTACAGTGAAACCTGTCTAATCTCACATGCACTAAGGGAGACAAATTAATTTTGTGTCAGAATAGACAGGTTGTTGGATTATAGCACGGCTAGTAGAAAATAAGTAAAATGGGAAATAAATTTTATGTCAGAATTGACAGTGTGACGGATTGTACAGTTGCTGGATTAGACAGTTTTCATTGTATTTCTAAATTAATGAAAAAAATATATCTTCAGCTTTATGTCTACTTTCATAATCAAACCTGAAGATAATAACACATTTATTCATTCTGTAATTCACCAATTGTATAATTTACAGATTTACCTGAATAATGGAAAATTTGAATAACTGTTCTTAAAACTAATTATAATCAAGAGCTTAGTTATAATAAATTAAACGAAAGGTTTTTGTTTCAAATACCGGAAGTAAAGTTTTGTAAACATTCTCAATGCATGACACACCTGAACAGGTGAGATATTTTAAAAGATTTTACTGAAATCGTCAGATATGTAGGCAAAATAAATCCTTAATTTTATCTATTGTTAAAAATATAAAAAGAGACACCAATAAACATATTAACCTGTTTGTAGTTGTGAAATAATGCCCAGTAACGCTACCCAGGCGATGGCCTGGCGAACCATCATGGCGCTTTTCCTTTACGAATTGTTGACAGGTGGCGCTGGTAGAATTTGAATTTTACCTGCGAAGTTTACCTGGGAAACACGAGGCGCGGATCTTTCTTTTTAAATACAAAATTAAATTTTCTATCGAATGTCTTCTTATATGTTGATGAATCACCATAAAAATGCAGTCAAATGTTAGCATAGTGCATGTTGTGGGAAGACTAATTTTTTTTCCAATGATGCTGATCGATAGAGATGGGGGGGGGGGGGTTTCAAGAAAATATGCGTTGAAACTTGAAAGTAAGTATTTGTCAAACAAGAGAGAAATTTTGACATCCTACAAAGAAAGTAAGACTAAGAATTTTCAAATATTTTATTAGGTGCCAAATTAATTCTATTTTAAAAATGGTAATTAAGTTCTTATCTTTTTTCTTTCTTTCTGTTATTCATTTATCTTTTTTCTCTCTCTCTCTCTCTCTCTCTCTCTCTCTCTCTCTCTCTCTCTCTCTCTCTCTCTCTCTCTCTCTCTCGTTCTCTCATTCAGCACATGTATACCAAGCAGTGAGTTCGATCAAAGCCGGCACTTAGGGTATGACCCCCCCCCCCCTTCCCCTTTTCCATTTTTTTTTTTAAGAATGTGGGTTCGATGCATGCATGTACAGTACAAAATTACTCTTTTATTAAAAGTTAATTAATTTGTTATATTGAATATGGTTTTACAGATCAAGCTATTAGCATTATATTAAATTTATATATATACGCAGCCGAAGTTTTACAAAAATAAATATTTTCTTCAGTGAAAATGCAATTAGGAAAAGACTTGTAAGAATGGGGAGCCCAAAAGAAGAGGAACAACTGTCCATTGGAAGAGGAAATAAAATACGTAATTGTTTCATCATCATCCCCCGAATTACGCATTGGAATGCCCAGAGACCTACAAACAACAAAGAGACAGTTTATTTCTTTCCTTTTTATTTGCAAAAATTTGGAAATTATATTGATTAAATTTTATCATAACATTTAGAAATTAATTTCTTGCATGTACATGTTGCCCTTTCGGAGTTTCCTCCAGAATCTTCAAGTTTGCCGCATAAGCTTAGTGCGTATCTAAGAAACATGCACGTGTTTTGAAACAGAGACAATTATACGAACCAATTAACATAGGAGATGTGTACCAATGTGGGGGAAGAAAAAAAGGGAAAGAAAAAAAAATTTTCTCTTTCTTTTGTTACTTGATACCACCTTCAGATGTAAAGTGTACGTGAAACTTTTCTTGACACTTTACGCAAAAGTTGGTGTAGATTGTACATGGAATTTTGCAATGACGCTGTACACTTTGTACACTCTTTGTTTCAAGTGTAGCTTGTCATTGAGTTTCGTTGAAAATGCTGTACACGTTACACACATAACATTAATGTAAATTGACGGCCGCTATCGGCCATAGTAGTTTTTAAATATATATCGTTTTCGACTAATACATAAAAAGAGGAGGAGGCTGCAACTATTTTGAAATCGTCGCCTGCCTCACCTGGTGACTGATTATTTATCTGTTTATCCAAAGCCTAAGAAAACGGAATATGCATGCATCAATTTATTATTTGTTGTTCACCCATGAGTGCACTCCAACTAAATTCATCCTAGATGCGGGTGATTCAATCTAAATATTTACAAATCGGGGCATATGAAATTAAATGGCAATATGAAAAGCAAGAAGAATGTATAACACATTGATTGATCTTCGAAAATAAATCTTATGGACATTCCAGCAATTAATTCTTTTGAAACTGCACAAATTAAACTTTTTTGAAAAGCAAGGGATATCGGGTGGTTATTAACCTTCCGACTGGACAGGACTGGTGAGTGAGGTTGTCATAAATAAAACTCGATATATTGTTGATTTCAATTTTTGCCCGTTGTTGTTTTAAATTAATTTAAAAAAATTATAGACATGATAGAATAAACATTAATTAATTTGATCAGCTTATTAAAAAAATTATTTTGTACTTAATTTTAATTTAATCTAATCAGGGACCTATATACTAGTATACAAGTTCCTGAATTGATTTAATTAATTTTTTTAATTTAATTTCACTAGGTTGGTATCAAATCTCCTGTATATGTTATGTTGCTTAAAAGATAACGCTTTCTTGCCTACTTTAATCCTTCTAGTCCATATTTCTGCACTCTGTGAGAAGTCTTTGTTATTTTATGTAAACATACCAGTCCAACAAAAAAAGTAGACAAATCAGTTTGCGTAATAGTTAGTAATGTTTCGCAATATTTGTCTCGGGATCGAAAGTTTACAAAGGAATGACGTCACATGGCGCATGCGTAGTCCTTCCTAGTTTGGCTTGCTAACTTTTCTGGACGACCTACACGAAGGTGCAGTCTAAAAATGTACAAAATACTTACCATTTTGGGAGTTGCTCTGGCAGCATTTTTATTTTTTGAATTTGGTAAGTTGTATGTTTGCTTTTCATAATATTGAAATATGTTTTTCCGGTTTAAATGGGATTTTGAGACACTTGTAAACACCTGCAAAAATTCAAGATTATTATAAGAATCTTTCTATTAAAGGGCGCTTTCTTTTCACGTTTTGAATTTTCTTTTTATCATGTTACTATCGTTAGTTTTGAACCTATTTTTTCTTTGACAACAAATCTTTTTAAAGGCATCTCGTAGAGTTAAAGATATTACCATACCTGTAAAATATAGGTCAAATGACCTTCACAATGAAGGTCGCTTTGGTTTCCGCTCCATTTCAGGTTCATCATAGTGTATGTGTAAAAATGTCAATATATATCATAATGCTTGGTGTCTTTTTCATTTCTGACTTCTATGGTTTTTTTCCCCCAATGAAAAGCACTCTACGAAAAAAAAAATATCCAGGGGTATCCAGTTTTTGTTCTTTTTACAGTTTTATATAGAATAAATAGTTATGATTAGAAAATATGTAATTATAGATCAAGTTCAGTTTATAAAATGGGACTTTAATTGTGGATGGTGCAGAAATATACTTATACGATGTATGAATATCATTACAACATTCTTGATATGTTAACGTTGTGCAGATATTTGATTTATATGTATCGAAGAAATAACTTTTATTTCTATAAGTCTCTCCAAACAATATCTACTTGCATTTTAGTTTTACGAATAAATATATATATATATAATCTCATGAACATAATGTAATTATTATCATTTTTAAAAATTGTCCTTTAGACATGGTAGAAATGACATGACATTAAAATGTCCTTCTTGTCCTTTTGAGAAATGCATGATAGTTGCCACATCTAAATATAGTACACTTGTAGAGTTTTTACCTGAGGGAGTTGTTTAGTCTTTGTCAAGATTTATGGTTAGAAGCCCTATCTCCTTGCTCAAGAATGGGCCTAAAGTTTATTGGAGGAATTAAAAATTAGTGAATTATTATTTTTTTTTTTTTTTTTGGTTAAATTATATTACCTTAAACATTATTAAAAGGATTTTTTAAATGAAATAATGAGTTTGGAAGAGACCATATCACATTCCATTAAAATGATTAAATTGTTATATTTTATAAATAGTGAAATGCATTGCAAGATAAATGCTGCCAAAATTCATTTTCAATTTGTCTTCAAAACTTTCTTTTTCACAAAAAAATCTACCAGTTCTTACACACAGTTATATGCATGAAAGATCTCATTTACATTGTTCCTATATTTTGCATTAATCAATGTCAAACTTGGTGTGTTTTGTAAGTCACATGAAGTTGTAACTTCCTGATGTTTTTAAAGCTGTGTTAAATTAAATCTATAAATGTACAATTTTGGAAATAATTCCATTTATAGATTACTCGTTAGTTATTAAATGCCTTAAAGTAAATGCATGTTCATTAAACATATAAGAAGTTGTTTATAGATATATAATATATGTATAGGGAACTTTACCTGTAGACAGTAGTACTTTAAGATGTCTTGACAATTTCAGCTAAATTTATCCATTTTTTTTCTTTTTCAGGAAATGCCATCCAGTGTTACCAGTGTAATTCCTATTTCCAGCAGGACTGTGCTGATTACTTTAACAACCACTCACATGCCCTCGTAGACTGTGGTGAAAATGTTACTATGTGTAGGAAAATTGTCCAGGAAGGTAAGAAGCGGTCAAGATCTATTGTATTCATTCAAGCATGACAAATAACAAGGGGAAAAAGAGACTTTTTTTATCTCTATGAAATGAAAAAAAATTTTTTTCGGGAAATACTTTAAATACTGTTTGTGATTAAGTAAGCAAACTGATATTGTTTCAGTTTGATGATATATTAATAAACAATTGAAATCTGTCCTCAGTGAAAAATTAAGAGAAATGCAATGTTTGTTAATTTTTCTTTCAGTATATTACAACGATGAATGGAATGTGCGTTACATCCGTCAGTGCGCTCCAAGTGGAGAAATCGGGGACGACGAAGGCCGAGTCTGCAAGGAGAGAACTGGAACGTACCGAGTCAAGATGAAGTACTGTCACTGTGGAAACCAGAAGGGATGCAACAGCGCCACCAGCATACAGTTGTCTCTTCTGATGATGCTCCTTCCAGTCGTAGCTGCCATTAAATCTCAATTTTCACATCTCTTATGAAAACTGTGTTAAGTTTTTAGATATTTTAAAAAAGTAAACAAATAACTAATAAACAAATAACATTTTAAAAATGAACCAAAAATATGGCAAATCTACAAATGATTAAGGTCTATGCAAAATTGTGTTTGGCAATTCAATTTTGAAAAATAGAAAGAGAACATTTGAGAAAAACTAGTATGCATTTGTATTTAAGATGGAAAAAAAATTATTTTAATGTTTCCAATTTATCCTGGAAGAATCTCATTTGATCATCATCATATGTATCATTTCTTTTTGCCGAAATATTTGTAAAACAAAAACTTGAAAAATGTTATCAGAATAATATCACTAATCAAGGTATTGAGCAAAAGTTGCATAAAATGTATTGTTTAATAATGGCATACAGTAATTCCTACCAAAATGAAGCTTCTTTAATTGATTTTCATAGATATGTTATATTTACAACTACACCAATGCTTGTATCCTCATGTTAGATTTTAGATTTCACAATTTTTAACATTTGATAAAATTTGTGCAATGTTTTTCCACCTTGTTTTTATTAGGATTTGTTTTGAAGCATGGTCAGCATGCTGGTTGATGTAGATAACAATAGTATGTGTTTGTAATTCATGTTGATAGCTACTTGTACATGTGTGACACTTAAAATTCGTACACATGATGTAAATACTCCCTCAACCTGTCATCCTAACATCTAATGTGTACAGAGGCAATATCACCAGATAGAGAGTGCAGTTTGTACCTTTAGCTATGAACATGAATTATTCCACTAGAGATATCACCTTGAATGATTTTTCTTTTAACATGTTGAATTTTGAGATGGACATGTAATGGCTTTGAATTAGATGGTGCAGTATAAAGAAGTTAATGGCTCTTTGACAGTCGGAGAATGCATTTTTTTTAAGTCAACAATTTGCAAAGCAAAGTACACAATCTGTAAACGAGAGTAGATGTGAAGTGTGAAAGGATTAGATGCTTTATATTAAATAAATCATACCTGGGTGATAATTTACATATGATTTACATATTCGTTGCAAAAAAATTATTTTTCAATTATTTTTTCAGTGACCTCTTTATTTTTTCAATTACTTGATATAATCTTCATTATCAGTTGTACACAAATTTTTAATATTGTAATTTTCTAAGTTATCATTCCATTTTTATTTTGAGGGTTGTGTATAAAAGTGTTGTGATAAGCATCTATTGGCTTACATAACCATTCCAGATTAGTTGTTTATTTTCATTTTCTACAATTGCAGAACTTAAATGCACTAATTATCAAGATTTGTTCAATGGCAGGTATTGATATTTTGTTAAACACGAATTCAAGGACTTGTACATTTAGTCAGATTTCTTAATAAATTTTTAATTTTTGTTGCATTGTTTGTATATTTTCTAATTATGAAAACTTAATATGTCTTCAGTGGGAAATTACAGAGAATGGATGTGTCACTCAAATATGCAAAATGTACCTGTCAAAATAGTGATAATTAAATTGTATTGGATATAGCATTCAACAGTCATAATGTGGGAGTACTGTTTAGATGTACTGGGTACAGTTAAGCAGGCTAATAATGAATTGCCAGGGAGAGGCGATTTTGCTTCATTATAAATGAAATTCATAACATCAGATAGCTTCTCTGGATGGTGAAAACTGGAATGAAAATCACTTTGCTATAAGCGTCAATTCATTATATGCATATTTAACTCGTACGCACTTATGGAAAGATAACTCCTGCCCAACACCCTGCAAGGGATACCAGATAGTCTCAATCTTGTAGTATGTTTGGCACATGTTCCAACACTTAGCATGGACCTACTACATGTACTCGTACCTCCTATCAAAATTAAAGGACTTGTTTAGGATCTCCCAGGATTTGTGTTTGGGTAAGATTTTTATCTAGTGAGTTGTGTGGTTTTTTTTTTTTAACTCAAAACCTGGGCAAGGGGATAAAAAAATAAATGAGTTTGATAAAAATCATATCCAACTGAATACCAAGGGAGATTTTCTTAATCCCAAGTTTTATGCACCACAACTAATGTTGTACACTATTTTTATATAGGAATCCACTTGATTTTAGTTCAATCATTTTGAGTCTTTCACACAAAACATTGTGACATCACAACTGTTGGATATAAAAAATATATCCAAAAAGTGATATCCATCAGATAGAGGGATTAACATGGGATAAATATAAAATAGAATTTATTTCATTGGATATATTGGAAATTGTGTCAAAACAAATGCAAAATCAATTTAGTTCTGAGGTAGTATATTGACAAAATCCTCTAAGAATAGTGCAATCTGATTCAAGTCATATTTTTGTTAGACCCCGAAAAATTTTGATTGTTGCTGTACAAACAACTGAAGAATCCATTTAGTTTTGATGTTTTTTTTATAATGAAAAATTAAATTCAGTGGTATATTAAATTTGCATGTGTGTTGGAAAGATAGTTTCCTTTGAATTTTGAGAAGGTAGATTGATGAGGGGTACAAAAAATTGGATTTCTATTTTTTTTTTTAAATTACAACATGAACAAAGAAAGATAACTTGAAAATTCGAAAAGGAGTTGGCTAGCAGTAAATCATGAAAATGCGTTTACCGTTTATCCTTTTAGGAGTCGCAGCCTGTCTGTCCTTCATTTGTGTAGAAATGTCTTTAGAATGCTTTAATTCGACTTACAAAACTGGGAATGGTTGGTATAAAAAGTTTTTAACCCCTACCCCCCTTTTGCTCAGCCGGATTAGAGCAATGTTTAGAGATATGTCTTTGGTTGTGAGGCAATAAGTTAAGAAAGTTGTCTTAGGTTTTTTATTGTGTGAAACCTATTTAAAAAACTCGCATGCCAAGTTCATTGAGGAAAAAAACTACCATCTAGGTACTTTATAGGAACCGAGAGAAAGAATTTCAAAAGGCCATAATAATCTATGTAATGAATTTTTTCCCCTCTGAAATTACGATTGAGATTTCGAAAAAAGAGGCCTAAGGGCTATGACTTTTGATATTCATAGAAAAAAACAAAGTGAAAACACGAAGTACTTGTAAATATTCGCTGTTTGTATTCTTGTATATTTATACCCCCGCTTGAAAAGTTGGAGGGTATATAGAGATCGGGAGGTCCGTCTGTACGTTCGTCAGTCTGTCTGTATGTCCGTCTGTTATGTTTTGGAATACCCATGAGCATCTGTTATTCGCACAATATAATACTTTCACTAATTTCTTTTTTTTCATAATGCCATTGTGACATCCTATTTTACTTTTTGATCAGATACATATTTGGCATCTCCCAAAGCAAAATATAGACTCCGCCATTATAATTATATGGGAAGCGGGGTTATTATTCAGTGAGCTGAAATGCTCACAGTACCTCTAGTATACATATATTTTATAATCGAGTCAGATGAACACAAGCTTGAAGTGGTATCAATGTAAAAAAAAACAATCAGACTCAGATTGTGGACTGCAAATTCATCCTGACAAGGAATTAGTCATGTGCACCATTGCAAGGGGGTAAAATTTATCAACACTTACAGTGGAAAAGGGATTTTGATTTAAAAAATTGATTACATAAGAGATTCAATCCATATTTGCATATATACCCAAGAAATGTATGTCACTTTTCGACCAACCCTTATTTCAATGTTTGGAACAGTAACTATGCATAAAGAACTCCAGAATGCTGGCATTTGAAAATTATTTCACGATGTGTAGTTGACAGAACCAGCCTCTATGAATGCCATCTTCGCTAGCCAAGGGTTTCCAATCCTAGAGAAGATTTCGGATCGAAAATCCTTGGCTACCGAATATGATTTTATGTTCGTAATTACACGAACCAATAGGGGGTTACAAGTTGCTTCAGGAGGTTTTTTTTTTTAGAATACTTGTATTACTATGGTCACTACTTTAGTTAGAATTTTTCTCGCACTACTTCCCTGCATCTTTTTCCTTTTAATTTTTTTGAAACGAAAAGTACGCAAACTCACATTAAATCCTTATACAATGTACTTGAAAACATCTTTTATTTGAAGATATCACCGATTCATTGATAATTGAATTAAAACAATTGCTGATTTCATTAAATTATTTGCTGAATTCATGTTTGCATCTATGCAAAGAACGAGTAATGAATTTGCAAAACGATGCCTTTAATTAAGCAAGAATGTTGATATTCTTATTTCCTCAACTTGTTCGGCAATAGCTTGCCTCGTTTTAGAAATTGTTCATGCCATAGGAAAAATATGAAATTGAACTATAAACTAATAAGTTTTAGCTCATATCTAATTTTATAATTATCTTATAACTTTACATACATGTATAAGTTATAACCATCATCGTTAAATCATATTGAAGACACAATATACATACTGTATTTTTACAATTAAATGCGAGAGAGCTTACTGGTCTAAAATAATCTTCTAAATATATAAGTACATGTATGTATAATAAGTTTTTTGTATAACTTTGGAACTCAAACATCTACATCATATACTGAATCAGTCCATTACATATACATGTATGTATCACAAGCATTAACAGTACTCTTGATCATAAGTAAAATATAAGTAACTCTTGATCATAAGTAAAATATAAGTAATTTTGCATTAAAATACAAATCCAGTTACGTGACCTAAGAGAACTTCAACCGCGTGAGAATTAAGAGAAAAGAATTAATCCGACTCCATGAGTTCAAATGCAGGTTAAGATCTAAGCTTATTAACTATAACTATTAATTTATCGTTAAATCGATTATATCATGCACATGTATCATTTGAAGAACCACAATCAGCACTTATCCTTGTTACAATAACTGTATTTTTAAAAAATGCAGTAAATCTAATGAAGAAATAAAAGTTATCCGATTTATTAACATCATTTATTAATTAAAACCTCTGAAGAGGCACAGAAGAATAACCAGGATATTCGTAAACCTTCGCTTGCGTCCAATTCTCGATCGGAACAGAACGATAGCCGCCATCACATTCTATTTTATTTTTCCGATGCAGCAGTTTCTGAGTTCCTACAAGAAGAGCATGAAAAGATGTTCTAGTCTGCCTGGAAGACAAAGGAATGGTCGATTGATTACGTTTTTCGAAGAGAGTCGGTCTCGAGTTGACCCGTGGAATGTTGTTCGTATCAAGCCTTTTTATAGAATAATAACTACTCCTAAGTTCACTGTTTGGGTCATAGTCCCCGCGACTATTAGGACGAAAACTAATGTTAAAAACGTCCGTATCTCTCTTTGGAGGAGGCTTTTTCCCCTTTTTATTAACCTTCCGGGTTTTGTCTGGCGGCGTTTTGCTGAAAAAAGTGATATCACATTCATTAGCCATAGTCCTACTAACTGCACTCAGTTGCCGAGAAGGAGGCGCGATATCCGGTAGCCTCCTGTAGGATTCGGTAGATCCTTCAACAACGTCAAAACTCACGTTTTTATCTTCCCGACCTTCCCCAATATCAGGAAAGACCGTCTTGGATTTTATGGAAGACGACGAAATCACTATCTCTCGATTATGTTCCTCGTCAACATCTTTGTCCACGTAATAATCCCAAGGTTTATATTTTCTATCCTCATCCAATTTTTTCCTAGCGTTCTCAGATTTAAAGAATATATCTAGAGGATTTAACCGCCGATAAACCGTCCTGTTGATAGGAATTTTCTTGATGCGTTTCTTGGGCGGTGGTACATGGCACGGAGGTTGCGTTTTTGTGTTATTTGTCGTTTCTCTGGAAGGAAGAGTACAACGACTAGACTGGCTTGCCAACTGTTCTTGTAAAAAAGGCATCTCCACATTGAGGACTAGTTTTTGTCTCGCAGGTAGGTAGTCGTCAAATGTCGGACTAGCCGTGATGGTGGTAGACGTTACAGACATGGCTACAGGCGTACTGATACCTTCTTTATCACTTTGTTATTCAATAAAGATTAATTTTATCCCTCACCAATGCGTAAATTAAATTTTTCGCGGAGACGAAAAAATCAAACATGGTTTATTCTTAATAACTGCATAAAAGAATACTGACAACACAATAGGTAAATTACTTTGTGTGGTGCCACTGTATATATCCTTTCATTATGTAAGCATGTGCCACATTATATACCGAGACATTCCTGATTCTATATAATGAAAATCCTTCATAGTTTTTCGAAAAAATTAATAAACCATTCTTCATTGCACATTTCAACAGTCTGTCTGGGCTACAAAGGTTAAATCAAACACGCGAAAGTCCATTTGTCTAATCCACTTAATAACAACTGTAAATACAATATATTGTGTTTTGTTAGACCGTGACGCGGAGAGACTTAAGTTTGTCTTTCATATCGTTAACCAGCTTACTTTTCCAACAGTGTGTCAAACCTAATTAATAATTTCCTGATACGTACAGCACTGAACATTGCAGAGGCTTTGTTAGATTATCACTGTTATTTAAATTCAATTTAAAAAGTTGTTCGATTAAAATTCCCTTTTAAAAGAAAATAAGATTTAGCAGCTTGCTGTTAATGGAACGAAAATCGGATAACTGAGCAATAAAAACGACCTAAAAGACAACCTATAGTGTCAATCATATTCATATTCAATATTATCATACCAGGTAAATGTAACATTGTGAAGTTTAAGAAAATATAATACTCTTCAATAATACATGAGATCAAAAATTGTATGTATAACATACAAAGATATACGAAAAAGACATTACTAATATATGTGCAAACCATAATTTTAGCAGGGTTTAAATTTTCGTTGTTATCGTTTTGTAACCCATGAATTCATATATCCCCATAAAACCCCCACCCTGAATATGTTCCTGGATCCATACATGCCTCTTGCCATAAACCATTATCATCTGCATAAGTATGTAATTGATTCGATGTGCAAGAAAAGAACATTATCTACGTTCAAATAGTTTGTAAAAAGAGTCGAGCCACTGACAAATAAGTTGATGAAACAAGGATAGATATGAACGTTTTAAGTCAACATTTTGCAAATTTTATGATGAAATACAATGATCTTGTCAGCAAATACAATTTATTAAGTGGAATGTTAACAGACGATTTTCATGAAAATTGTAATGTTAATTATCTTCATCGCGAAAAAGTATAAGAAGGACTGTATAACCAAATGCTATGGTTCCAGACAAGGCTTAGGATTATATAATAATACATCCTCTATAGTAAGTTTCATTATAATAATAAAATGGTATTTCAGAAGAACTTGGCTTTATTTTTACAAATGGAAATTTTACTTACACTGACAGTTCCCTTTCTAAGAAGGATATTTATGGCACGCCAAATTCACAAAAATGAGATAAACCTAGTTTCACACTTGATAAACTAGGTTTATCGACTGTAAACTATAGTTTACAAACCGTAAACTATAGTTAACGATTCGTTAAGTATAGTTAACGATTCGTTAAGTATAGTTTTCATCTGTAAAACTATATTTAACGGTTGTTAACTATAGTTTACGAATGATAATCTAAGTTTATCTGTCTGTAATAAGTGTTAACAATAGTTTTTGTTGATAAACATAGATTCACGTTTGTAAACTATAGTTTACAATCCTAAACTATAGTTAAGAGTTGTTAATCATAGTTTCACAAATCGTGAAACTATATTTATCAGATCGTTAAGTATAGTTTACGGTTTGCAAACTATAGTTTACAAATCGTGAAACTGTATTTATCAGATAATCTATGTTTTGCAATAGCAAATGATTGTTTTCAGTGTTAAGTATAGTTTACGGTTGTGAAACATAGATTATCGCGTGAATTATGGTTTACGGATGTAAAATATAGATTAACGTTGTTAACTATAGTTTACAGTCCGTAAACTATAGTTTACAACCGATAAACCTAGTTTATCGACTGTGAAACTATGTTTAGCTCATTTTTGTGAATTTGGCGTGCCATAGATATTCGTTAAAATTACTTTTCAATTTTCTTTAAGTCTTCAATACTTGTAACATTTCAGTCAATAAAGATGAGGTTGGTCTACCCGCCTGCCTATAAATGACTCCTAAAACGAATCCTTACAAAACAAATTTACATTTTAGAGTCCTACAAATGTTCCTCCAAGCCACTGGCTATCTTTACTTGTCACTAAAATATTACGTGAACAACTGTCTTCACAAAATGTCTGTAATAAGTGTTAACAATAGTTTTTGTTGATAAACATAGATTCACGTTTGTAAACTATAGTTTACAATCCTAAACTATAGTTAAGAGTTGTTAATCATAGTTTCACAAATCGTGAAACTATATTTATCAGATCGTTAAGTATAGTTTACGGTTTGCAAACTATAGTTTACAAATCGTGAAACTGTATTTATCAGATAATCTATGTTTTGCAATAGCAAATGATTGTTTTCAGTGTTAAGTATAGTTTACGGTTGTGAAACATAGATTATCGCGTGAATTATGGTTTACGGATGTAAAATATAGATTAACGTTGTTAACTATAGTTTACAGTCCGTAAACTATAGTTTACAACCGATAAACCTAGTTTATCGACTGTGAAACAATGTTTAGCTCATTTTTGTGAATTTGGCGTGCCATAGATATTCGTTAAAATTACTTTTCAATTTTCTTTAAGTCTTCAATACTTGTAACATTTCAGTCAATAAAGATGAGGTTGGTCTATCCGCCTGCCTATAAATGATTCCTTAAATTAATCCTTACAAAACAACTTTACATTTTAGAGTGACTGTCCTACAAGTGTTCTTCCAAGCCACTGGCTATCTTTACTTGTCACTAAAATATTACGTGAACAACTGCTGTAAGGGAGAAATTTCGAGCGTTCTGTACTACGAAATATTATTCCAGAAGCAGTGTAAACCAAATGTGGATTCTCTAACAAAGAAATTTAAGAAACTTTAAAATTTTAATTTTTCCAAAAGCTATTAAAATCAGAACAAATCGAAATAACAGCATTGCAGAATCTGCCACATCTGTTTCATATTTGGATGTTTCTCTCACTATAGACGGTAAGGGCCAACTAACAAGTAAACTGAAAGGCAAACAAGATTACTTCAGATTTGATTTACATGTATTTTAATCCAAGACGGTCTACCGACAAATAATTTGATTCCACAGGGGTTTCAAACTTGTTTAAGTTGAAATATCATATCCTCTAAATTTCACATTTTCATTTTTTTAATATATCCAACATTGATTTTTATTAACAAAAATAGGATCGGATTCAAATGGAGAATAGTTTGAAGCATGAAGCGTTGCTAACTTTTTTAGAAATGAATACGGTATTATGTCTATCTTAATAATATGAAAAACGAGACTGTGAATAGACTGATCAATAGTTTCTTATCATTGCATAAAATTGAAAAAAAAATGAGGTAAAGAAACTGAAACTTTTTTGAAACTTTTATTTCACTCAAGGCCTCACATGAGGCACAAATGTACAAATATTAATTTTAACATAATACAATTTATAAGCATCTAAACTAGTCAACAAGAATAGGAACAAACATACGCTGTGTATACAAGATTTAAAAATGTTGGAAGGTAATATTGTAAATGTTGCATTATTGCTTAAAAACTGACATGACAATTTACAGTATTTCGAGTCAGAATATATTTATCATGGCTATTCATGAGATCAGAAAAACTAATAATATTTTAGTTTTAGCATAAATCGTGGGGTAAAAATTTATACCTTCCTTAAAGTAGTCACAACTGAAAAAATAATTGAGCTCATCACCCACATTCTCATAAATCGGTATACGAGTCCATTTGATTTATCTTGAGTTATCGTTCTTGAAATTCAGTGACCAGGAATCCGTCAGTGGCTTCAACGCCGTGCAAAACAAAAATCAAGGTACTTGGGAGATATTCTGAATGGTAAGAAGTCTGTATTAATGAAATGTGTCTAAGAAATCGAACGACATAGTGTTTTTTTTTACGTTGCTTTAGCACTGTTTAATATGTTATTTGTATGTACTGTTGAAGTAAACAAAAGCCCATGACCCTGATATATAATTATAAGTTACGGTACACGGGCACATTAATAAATACATGTCGATATAAATTGAGAACTATGCCGGTTTGACTAATACAGAAAATTATACTAGTAAACGAATAAAAATGTTATTTTATTTTACGAGGAAACGTCGTTCAGAAATAATTTGTTAGTTGCGCAATCGCAGGAAATAGTACTTAATTATCACTCGTTTTTCCACATGCTAGAGAAAACTAGAGGTACTGTACATGTGCAGTGAGCTCACAAAATATTATGATGATAATGGCAAAGTCCATGTTTTGCTTAGGTGCACAATGTCGACTTGTAGGAGTATATAATATCACTGGTACCTGAAAATAATCATACATGTGTAATAAGAAACTTAATCCTGGATACTTTAAAAATAGATGTGGTAAAAATATTGCCTATTGCCCCTATAAATTAACTGATGTTAAAAAGTTAAACAGTAAATATTCATTTAACATTTGAGGTTAATTCTTTCCAAAAGGCACTCTTATGTACTAATGCTGTAACACACCTAACGTAATAGGGAACGCCAATCCGAAATATATATGGAGCGGAAGAAATTTTAGCTGAGGGTGGCGCGCTTTTATTGAATACATGTATAATACAATTTTAATGTCTCATTTTTAGATGTGAGTAAAGATTGAAGCAAACAGGAGAGCGACAATGGCCGACACAACAAGTATGGCGCAAGACATCATTTTGTGTAACCTGTGTGACAAGAGAGCCGCCCTACTTCATTGCAATCCCTGCCAGGACAACCTCTGTGAAGAATGCGTTGGGAAGCATTATATGACCTCATCTTCCTTCGCACATGAAATCGTCAAATACAAGGACAGGAAATTTCAGCTGAAATTTTCAAATTGCAGTGCTCACGAAACTGAGAAATGCACTGTCATTTGTCAAAACTGCGATCTACCAGTTTGCATAAAATGTTTAACAGGGGTCCATAAAGGACACAATGCTGTTGATTTTTGCGAAATCATTGATGCAGTAAAGAACAAAATAAAAGAAAACACTGTTAGTCTGGAAGCGATCCTTCCTCAATTTGAACAAGCAGACAGACAGATCGAGTCCAAGACAGCGGATCTAATTTCAAGATGCAATGAAATGCAAAATTTAGCCATAGAGCGTGGAAAAGAATGGCGTCAAGCTATTGATGATCTCGTCGAGAAAAACAAAGTCGCTATTGATAAAATGAAGGAAGATGGAATCAAAGATTTAAGAGAGAGTCAAGCAGAAATTAAGGATACAATCCAAGTCTTAATGCAAGACATTGTAAAGAACAAGAAAATCATTCTATCTGTTGAAGCAAATGAAATTAAACAATACAAATTGACGTCCCAGAAATTATACCATAGTATTCCGTTAGAATTTGATTTAATGCTTCCAACATTTCTTCCCTATCAGATAAATTCTGATCAACTGCAACAAGATTTCGGAGTACTGCATGCTCATGTGCTTATGCGACATCTCAAAACAAGAACAAACTCGGTCTCAAAACCTCGGAATCTGCTAGACAAAGTTATAGAAATCAAAACATTTGTGGTTGAGAACAACTTGAGGCAGATAGCTTGTCTAGGAACGGAGGAGGCATGGATAACGTATAAAGAAAAGCCAATCATCCAACGAATGAACACAAGGGGCTCTATTCTGGAGACTGTTATATCTAGTTGTGTAGATTGGAATGGTCATCCGAGTGACATTTTGATTAAAAACGGAGAACTATTATATACCGATAGAATGAAAAGATCTGTTAATATTGTCAGAGATGGCAAATCTACCACCTTCATCACGGTGCAAAAAGGATGGGAGCCGCTAGGACTCAGCGGTACAAAAGCAGGCGACTTGTTGGTCTCTGTGGGTACTTCTAACATGGGAAGTTATAAGATTGTGCGCTACGAAGGACAACAGATCAAGCAGGAGGTAGATAAAGACGATCGTGGGAATTCTTTATTTAAGGAGGGGGACAGAATGTTCTACGTGGCAGAGAACATCAATGGGGATATATGTGCTTGTGACGTCAACGCCAGGGCAATTGTTGTGATATGCAAAACCGGGAAACTACGATTCCGATATAAAGGAATGCAAACGATGGAGGGCAACTTTATCCCATGTACCATCATTACGGACGCCGTGGGAAACATCCTGGTGGGTGATAACGGGAATAAATGTATCCACATCATTGATAAGGACGGACAGTTTCTCCGGAGTCTGAAGGACTATGATAGATTAAGTGTAGACGATCTGGGTCGACTCTGGGTGGGGGAATCCGGAGGAAACGAGGTGAAAGTCTTCAAATACATCGAGTAGTGAACAACTTTTGTTACATGTGTTAGAACTACACTCTCAACAGCAAAGAACTAGTCCCTCTATGCTGTAATGTATATTTTGAACACAGTTAAATGTCAAAATAGCCGATGAGATATGAATGTAATGGAGTTTTACGATATAGTGTGCAAGTAAAGATGTTTGAAAGGGAATTATATAAATGAAATGTTTTGCTATTATTACTAGATAATGATTTCCCAACCAATCAATCACCCCCTGCACATCCACCCCCCCCCCTCTCTAAAGAGAGAACTCTCATTAAATTTCATTTAGTGGTATAAGAGGAGTTGCGGATAAGAGATGAATACCCCAAAGCGTAACAGACTGACGGACGGACTTACAGACGGAAGGATAGACACCCCGATTACTATATACCCTCCCACTTTTCAAGCGGGAGGAGGGGGACACTATAAGAGGGCTTTGGGAAAAACATTTTGTTTAGTCGTTTTTCAGCCACCATTTGGCAGCCCTGTGGGTAGCTACAGAACTGCTGTAGAGTTATGCATTTATAAATTAATCTTCGACAAGTTATAGTCAAACACTAATATACGACCATAACGCTACAGTTCTGCAGCTAGTTGTGGGAGAGGAGGGATTAAACCCCATTCTCTTTTTTGCCAAAAAACTCAAACAAACAAACAAAACACACACACATTTGGCCCAGTTTGGAACAAGTTCCTTAATTTGGCTATCCCCCATCCTCATTCCTATTCAGATTATGGGTCTGATAATAAAATTCATGGCTCCTCCTCTTTCTGGAGTCTTAATGGTGCGTTTTCTTCCGGGTGTTTTGATTCAAATGTTTTATATGTATTAAAATATTGTATTTGAATTCTTTGTACATAAACCTCTGTTTTTAATTTCACTATTTTTTGATTTAAATTCCCATTGTTGGAAGGTTGTTACATGATTCTCAGGTGACCTATAAGACCCGTGGACTATATACATAAACCTCTGTTTTAATTTTCACTATTTTAAAATCCCAGACGGAACACCATAATATCTCTAATACAAGTGACATATTTACCTTTTTACTTGACTAAATCGAAAGTTGATGGAATTAGTATTCCCTAGGTCTATATAGAAGCTTTAATTCAGTAAGTAACAGCCAATATAATAATGCCAATTTGATGTGCTCATCACAAGAAACACCAACAGGCATATTTTATACTGACTGGTATTTTAAATACTAGTAATGTGTATCTCATACGTTGTACATATGTACAACAAGCTCAAAGTCCATTTATACAATACTATCAAGAGAAGAACATTTGAGGCGGGCCTTTACAGAAAAAAAACCATTAGGAGTTTGATCAGGTGCAATTGAGTAGTATTCATCCCCTGTCGACCGGCCACACCCACCGTGTACTCCTTGTCACGATCGGGTAAAGTGGTAAAAAGCTGTAGAAATTTCATTGTGTAAATAATGGCTTAAATTAACAATTAGTATGAAAATTGTAAGCAAGTATTTGGTCCTATGATAGACTGCATTTGCTGATAAAGTAAATGTATGGACCATACAACTTCCGAAGTGATGATTTCAAACGAAATATAAATATCCTTGTTTCATCAACTTGATTGTCAATAACTTGTCTCATTTTAAAGATTGGTCGTACATGGAATATGCTCTCGCGTATTGAATCAATTGGGAGACTTAAAAACCTCATAAACTAGTGGTAAGGGTCTATTGCTACATAAGAAAGGAATTTGACGTCACGTTTTGCGCAAGTTTCTGAAAAAAAATATATTTGCCTTCCAGAGCAGCATTTTCTTTCAAATTGTTAAAGGTTTTTGATGAAATAGGTATATATAATTTTAAAGTATTAATACATGTACATTAGCTTAGTTTACAAAAAATTAAAGCCATTTGTCTTTCCATTTACAACCTATTTTTACCGATTTTAAGATTCTGACATGTAATTTTGTTTCATCATTTTTAGATTTGAGTAAAATTTTAAAGTAGAAGACGTAGTCACAATGGCCAGCAATGTCACCAGAGCGCAGGAGATCATTCTCTGTCACCTGTGTGATGCGAGAGCCGCTGCACTTCACTGTAATTCATGTCAGGTCAACTTATGTGAGGAGTGCGTAGGGAAACATTATCTGACGTCATCGTCTTCTGCACATGAGGTTGTTAAATACAAAGACAGGAAGTTCCATCTTATTTTCACAAACTGCGAGTCTCACAAAAATGAAAAATGTACCGTGCATTGTGAAAATTGTGATAAACCGATTTGTATAAAATGTGTGACAGGGGTCCATAAAGGACACGAGGCTTCCGATCTCTCGGAAATAATTGAATCAAAAAAGCGCCAGATCGAGGAAAACACTACTCATCTTGAAAATCTAAATCTTCAGTTTGACCAAGCCGATGCAAGGATCTCAACAAATTTGGCAGATTTTATTTCAAGATGTGATGATTTGCAAATAGCCGTTGACAAATGTGGAAAAGAGTGGCATCGCATCGCCGATGAAATCGTCGATAAAAATAAAAAAGACATCGCCAAGATGAAAGAAGAAGGAATTCGAGAAATAAGAGGTTACCAAGACGAAAACAAGAACACACAGCAATCATTAATGGAAGCAGTTAGACAGAATCGAAAGATTATTCAGTCTGTTGATGCAGATGAGATCAAGCAATACAAATACGAGGAAGGGGAATTGTGTCAAAGGGGACCTTTAGAATTTGATATAACTCAACCATCCTTTGTCCCCGGTCAGGTCAATTTTTCCGAACTACTTGAAAATTTTGGGAAACTTCACTTTACCAAAATATCAACGCCAATGTCTAATACTGCAGCATCCCATACCACCGCAACCATAGAAAAAATGCTAGACGAAGTTATTAAAATCGCTAAATTTAAGACTAATGACAATCTTAGGCATCTTTATTGTATTGGTACAGAGGAAGTTTGGGTAAGTTACGATAAAAAGGCGAGGATCGAATGTATGAACATACATGGATCAGTCATGAAGTCTTGTATTTCAACTTGTATGGACTGGAGTGGTTACCCAAGTGGCATTTCGGTTACAAGAAAAGGAGAACTAGTGTATACAGATAAAAGGAGTAGAACTGTTAATGCTTACCGAGATGGAAGACATATTTTTCTCATCATGGTAGGACAGGGATGGCAACCGATGGCAGTGTGTTATACAAAACTGGAGGAATTACTTGTCTCTTTGAAATCGGTTGATGATAGTGCGTGTAAAATTGTCCGTTACAAAGAACAAACAATCATTCAAGAAATAATCAAGGATAATCAAGGCGATCCGTTATATAAAGGAGGAAATAAGATGCTCTATGTGACGGAAAACATTAACAGTGATGTCGTTGCTTCTGATTGCAACGCCCAAATCGTTGTCGTAGTTAACAGTGCAGGTACATTGCGATATTATTATAAAGGACACAAGTCCATCAAGGGTAAATTTACTCCTGGCTCCATTGTCACTGATTCAGGAGGTCGTATCTTGGTGGAAGATGATGGGAGTAATTGTATCCAAATCACTGATCAGGATGGACAGTACCTAAGACATCTGAATTATTGCGGCATACTGAGCTTGGACACACTCGGGCGACTGTGGGTGGGGAAGTTTATTGGTAACAAAGTGAATGTGATCAAATATACAAAATAATAAGAAGGAAGATACATGCATTTGATATATTGTAGTACTAGTCTTTATCCCGAGCTATTAGTATTTATATCGTTTATATTGGGTACAAATACATTTTTCTCCTTCATTTGATCTAAGCGCAAAACAGTAAAATGTGAAGTTTTGACAAAACACTTTAAGGTAAAATTTTCATCCCAGAAAACTGTTTTAAGTTTTCGAATTGACAAGGTATCTAAATCAGATGACTGTTTAAATGTTTATCATTCATGCATTTCTTCGTGTGCCCATGATGAATATGATTGTATCATGTTGTAATATTTTATTTAATATACATTTATTTATATATAATTTATTTAATAATCAGATTTTAGACGCAGCTCGCAGTTCGCTATTCGCAATTCAAAAGTGCACTGCGTTCTAGAACGCTGTTCGCAATGCAAAATTTAAACATAAGCTGTGTGGTCTGAAATTTTGAGGGTGGAGTACTATGGGTCAGATACCACTTCTATAAAAAAAAATGGTGATGGTACCATCTCTAGTTTCCGAGATATGGCACTGCAGTTTTTAGCCCCATATTATAATACAATACGAATAAACATCGGGCTCGAAGACATCAAAGTCCCCTACCCTGGGGTCTGAAATTTCGAAGGTATGGTATTAGGGGTCAGATATAACTTCTACGAAAAAATGGTGATGAAACCATCTCTAGTTCCCGAGATATGGCCCTCCAGTTTTTAGCCCTATACAAGTAACAGCTTTTTAAAAAGCTTGCCTGACTAAATCAATCAATTTATCTGCATCAAGAGTGATAACCCTATTGAGCAATACTTTTGTGGGTTTAAAAAATATCCAAACTTTATATTTTGAGAACCTTATGTAATTGAAATCTTGATTTTACTGAACTTGTAGAAGAATCATCTCTACACTGGATACTAAAGAACTTTGTAGTTGAAAGGGGGGGGTGTCTGCAAGTGGAGTGATCTGCCCTTGGATCTAAACTGATTTCAAGCTACATTGTAACACCTATTATAAAATCTGTTATCAAATCACGCATTGTGAACATTTTAAAAGATGGATATAATTAAAAACACATTTTGTTGGAGTGTATTTTCTCCTCTGAAGTAAACAGTAGTAAAGTGTGTTCATAATTTTTTCTTAAAAGGGAACACTATCATATAATACATGATATACTGAGAATGAAGTAAGTAAATTCAATAGTTAGGCTTTGTAGAAAGATATCCAAGATTATTCACTACTTTTTTATTTATCGTGTGCATCTGAACAAAGACATGTAATAGATCATGCATCTGGAGACGATGGCTTGAACTGCGTTGTTTATTAATATTGGACTCGTCCATTTATGGAATAAACCAACCGCGGGATCGGTCAACAAATTAGAAACATCATTTCTTTAGTGTTACGTCCATATACCATGTATACTGATGTATACGATATGTTGTTTTAAAAAATAGTATAAAACTTGTAGATAGAATTTTTGGTTAAAAGGACAAACTTTATTTAATTCGATGGAAGTTAGCACACCCATTCATACAATAGAAGAATCCATGGAAAATGCGCGAAGATAGCTTACTAGTGACATTTGGCGCGGAAAGAGCGATTCACCCCTTTCGTAGAATATAAATGGACTGATCCAGTAGTATAGAAATGCAGAAAAAAGGATACACGGACATGTTGAAACGGTAAATCATATGGAATAATCTGTTCCATGCTAAAAGATTAAAGGAAATAAACACTGCAGTATTTCGCATCAGTAATATCTTTCTTTTTTCTGAAGACTGTTTCTTTTAAAATGCAGGTAAAGAATTCCAATGTAAATCAGCTTGCACAAAATCTAGCTCTTTAGATATGGTCGCACATTTTCGGATCATAGAAACATCAATCCTTATACTGCCTGACGCCGTGACGTCAGGCAATTATAATACTATGCGAATAAACATCGGGCTCGGGGACATCGAAGTCCCCCTACCCTGGGGTCTGAAATTTTGAGGGTTGGGTACTAGTGGTCAGATACCTTTTCTGTGGAAAAATTGTGATGGGACCATCTCTAGTTTCCGAGATATGGCCCTCCAGTTTTTAGCCCTATATTATAATACTCTGCGAATAAACATCGGGCTCGGGGACATTGATGTCCCCTACTTTGGAGTCTGAAATTTCCAGAGTGGGGTTCTAGGGGTCAGATACCACTTCTATAAAAAAATGGTGATGGTACCATCTCTAGTTTCCGAGATATGGTGATGCAGTTTTTAGCGCTTTATTATAATACTATACCAATAAAAATCGGGCTCGGGGACATCGAAGTCCCCAACTCTGGGGTCTGAAATTTTGAGGGTAGGGTACTAGGGGTCAGATACCACTTCTGTGGAAAAATTGTGATGGGACCTTATCTAGTTTCCGAGATATGGCCCTCCGGTTTTTAGCCCTATATTATAATACTATACGAATAAACATCGGGCTCGGGGACATCGAAGTCCCGCTACCCTGGAGTCATATATTTTTAGAATTAATAGTGGAGAAAAATACATAATTTAAAACGGAATAACTGCATTTCCTTTTTAATTAAAATTTAATAAGAAAATTGACTGGTTGCCAAGGTGTATCCTCCATCCAGTTATTTTTTCTCGAGGGAGAGGTTGTGTTTTGAGGGAACCTCATGGACCTACTCATAGAAAACTATATTTTATAAAAATAAGGATTTTTTTCAAATTGTACTGATTGCTAATAAATAAAGCATTACAATAATGTACATTTATACTAATGATAAAAGTCATAACAATGCATATTTCTTTATTTCTTTAAGCCAACTCAGTTGATATCATTTTTATCCCTTGAGATTTGAAATTTAAATGTCATACTATCAATTCCAGTGAAGTGTGTCCTACTGCTTAACGTCACTTTCTATTTTACTTTTATTTTTCTCCATAAAAATAGATTTTTAGGTTATGAAACCCTGTAATTTTCTGAAACCCAATACTTTTGAAATTGAACAAAATTTACACGGGTCATGCAAAAATTCTACGTTTGTCAATTTCCCCATTTGTGCGTCACGGTATCTCTTTAATGAAATTTTAAATATTGCAAATCTAGAGAACACTGCCTATCATCATTCAAAAAAAATGAAAATGATTTGCTTACTGCTTAAAATGTAAGAGGAGATTGAGGAATGAAAATCCCAGACGAGACACCATACATCTCTGATACAAGTGACACAACTCTCTTACCTGATCAGATGATGCAGGACGGTTCTAAATCGAAAGTTGATGAAATGAATTTGCCCTAGGCCTATATAAAAGCTTTTATTCGGTAAGTAACAGCCTATATAATAATTTCAATTTAATGTGCTCTTCACAAGAACCACTTACAAGTATATCTTGTGCTGACTGGCATTTTCAAAAAATGAGTACCTCAAACATTGCACATGATGTGTATACGTGCAAGGTACATACTTATCAGTATTTTCTTAAATTATCATGTGAGAATGTTGGATGCTCGTGTGAACTTCAATGAATTCAGTAAGTATTGCGAAAAGGATAAATATATTACTCGTTGTACCGGGTTAAAAGGAGAGTACAGACACACCCACAAATAGGACAACTAATATGTGGCATAATGTGCTGTGAAAATAAAATATGTAAATAACAAACAAACAAAATGAAATATGGGCATAACGAAAAAGTTTAAAGTCCATTCTAAATATAATACATATCAAGAGAAAAAGTAATAAGACGGGCTTGATAGAAAACATCAGAAGTTGGATCAGGTGTCGTTGAGGAGTATGCATCCCCTGTCGACCGATCACACCAAACGTGTACTCCCTTGTTAGAACGTTATCGTTAACGTTTTTTTTTTCTAGTTAAATGCATTACTTTTTAAATACTTTATGTTAAACTCTTTATTTATAGGGAATGTATATTTACCATTTATTTTATATTTTCCCTGTGTATAAATGAAAGCCAAAAGAACTTTTTGGACGGGAAAGGTGAACAGGTATAGTAACTATAATGATAATGATATTTAGAGCAATAGGAGCAATAGGAGTACATATTTTCTATCTCTCTATCTCGCTTCTTTCTCTCTACCTCTACGCAATTTAAAGTAATCCATAAAAATTCAAATCCTATTTTGCTGTTTTCTACAAATGAATTTATTTATGAGAGATAGGACTTCTAGAAACGCTCAAAATATTTAAGGAACAATGAGGATTGTTTTTTGTTTTTCTTTGGATTTTTTTTTTGTTGCAATTACTGGGTTTCTATGCAATAAATTCTTTGAATTATTTTCACACAAACCTTACATTTCTGAAAAAAATTATTTGTCTTGCACAGCAGCATTTTCTCTTGGAATTGTAAAAAGGCTTTTGATGAAATACGTAAAAAAGTTTAAAAAAAAAAACGTTTGTCTTTTCATATACAATGTACAACTGTATTACCGTATAACGGGTATTTTTTACGTGCTGCTAATTTTTACTTATTTTTACGAGTTTTATAAATCCGTAAAATTTAAACGCGTAAAATTTCACATAATTCATAAAACGTCCCGTGTAAATTTTCAACATCGTATGTATAAAAGTAATGCTAATCGTCATTAAGCTCACTCCCTGTAGGCTATATAATTAGTGTACTTAATTAACTTGTATAAGAATGGCTACTCGGAAAAAACAACAAGTAATTATCACACTCAATTAAGGGGCCCTCTAAGGGGTACAGGTAGACTTACCTGTATGAATAATCTACTAGAATTTAAATGAAATAATTGAATGAATTTTTAATTCAATTTTCTTTATTTGAGCACTAGTATGAATAAATATTTTGTATACATATTTTTTAAATAAATAATTTTACAAGCACAAAACATATTAAAATCTATAAATTATCTTGAAGTTCTATTGTTTAGCAGCACTGATTTTCACATTATATATTAAATAGCACTGTTTCACTTTCATATCACACATATTTACAATATTTACAAGTCTTTTAGTCCATCTCCAGATATCTGTATATATACTGTTCTGTAGCCTGTGTTGTTCTTGTATAACTTACAACTTGGACTGCATCATAAGCAAGTTCAGCACATCATTTTCTTTGACACTTGTTAAGATAGTTTTGCTTATTAAAAATTTCAAAGTGAACTGATATCAATTAACAGGTGCTTCATCAATTAGCTTATTAACTTAGGAATTCCTTAAAAATCAAAGTGATCTGTTTTTATCTCGATTCGTCTATATTTATTATAAAAATTGAAACATAAACTTCTGTATTTTATGATGATATAGAAGAATGTTTTAATAATTAAAAATGATAAATAAATGAATTAAACTAGACAAAACTTTATAGAAACACTTTATTTATCATACTTAAATATCTATATTATTTTAGGAAAAAAATCATTATCTTTAATTTATTCAAAAGAGTTTGAAAATGTAGCACAAAAAGGGGATAATAGTTTGTAAATTCTCAATCAATACTATTGAATAGTTTGGAAAAAAATAAAATTAAAGTACAATAAAAAATTATTTTTCTGAAATCTTAATTTTATCTATTTATATTTATTTATCTATTTTTTTATTCAGTATATTTCAGAAAATAAAAAAACCCTCTTAATTAAAACAAAATTGAATGAATATATCTGATTTTTAAATATTGCTTATCCAGGTAAACACAGGTAAGTCTACCTGTACCCCTCAGAGGGCCCCTTAATTGAGTGTGATAATTACTTGTTGTTTTTTCCGAGTAGCCATTCGGGGAACACACCATCTATAATACAAACATCGTCAATTAATTAATCAATTAGTCCTACCTGGACTGGTTACTTTTTTTTTTATAGTATTTTTACGAGACGCATAACTTCTGATAATGATTTAATAATTATACCCGTGTTTTCAATCTTTGACCCTTTCTTCTGTTTCATGTGCTTTGAATAAAACTTCGACTTCTTAATACAGGTACTTTCACTTCAATTATGATTGTTCGAGTTGTCTCTCTATGTTTTCGGTAAACACCAGACGAGCACGCGGCGTGCCTAGCTATGTGTTTTATAAAACATGAATAATTGAAGGGCACATTGTTCATGTTTTTAAAGGTAAATGATAAAAAATATACATTATGCATTGTTTATATCGTTATAATTTAATAAACCTCTCTCTCTCTTTCTCTCTCACACCGGGTTTTCGGACACATTACTTGTAAGTAAACGTGCTAACAACCACTGATCTGGAATTTTACATCTGATGATTTTTATTTTTACGGACTGTTGAATTCGTAAAAAATTAACGCGTAAAAATTTAAATCACCCTTTTTGACCCAAATTCGTAAAAATTTACAGCAGTAAAAATTACCCGTTATACGGTATATTGAAGTAAGGAAACTGAAACATAATTTAACTTCATCATTTTTAGATGTAGTCTAAAATTTCAAAGTAGAAGACCTAGCCATAATGACCTGCAACATCAGCAGAGCACAGGAGATCATTCTCTGCCACCTTTGTGACGCGAAAGCTGCTGCACTTCACTGTAATTCATGCCAGGTCAACTTATGTGAGGAGTGCGTAGGGAAACACTATCTGACGTCATCGTCTTCCGCACACGAGGTTGTTAAATACAAAGAAAGGAAATTCCATCTTATTTTCACTAACTGCGAGTCTCACAAAAGTGAAAAATGTACCGTGCATTGTGAAAACTGTGATACACTAGTTTGCATTAAATGTTTGACGGGGGTCCATAAAGGACACGAAGCTTCCGATTTCTCGGAAATAATTGATTCCAAAAAGCGCCAGATCGAAGAAAACACTGCTCACCTTGAAAATCTAATTCCTCAGTTTGACCAAGCCGATGTAAGGAACGCAACAAATTTGGCAGATTTTATTTCAAGATGTGATGAATTGCAAATAGCTGTCAACAAATGTGGAAAAGAATGGCATCGCATCGTTGAAGAAATCGTCGATAAAAACCAAAAAGACATCGCCAAGATGAAAGAAGATGGAATTCGAGAATTGAGAGGTTACCAAGACGAAAACAAGAACACACAGCAATTATTAATGGAGGCTGTTAGGCAGAATCGAAAGATAGTTGAGTCTGTCGATGCACCTGAGATCAACCAATACAAATACAAGGAAGGGGAACTGTTTCAGAGGAGACCTGTAGAAGCTGAAGTAAATTTACCAACCTTTGTTCCAGGACAGGTAATTTTTTCCGAACTACAGGAAAATTTTGGCAAACTTAACCTGAACAAAATTTCAACGTTAGTGCCTAATATTGCAACATCCTATACCGCCCCAACCAAAGAGAAACTGCTGAACGATGTTACTGAAATTGCAGAATTCAAGACAGAAGAAAATCTAAGGCATCTTTGTTGTACTGGTACAGAGGAAATTTGGGTAAGTTACGATAAAAAGGCGAGGATCGAACGTATGAACATACATGGATCAGTCATGAAGTCTTTTATGTCCACTTGTTTGGACTGGAATGGTTACCCAAGTGGAATTTCTGTAACAAGAAAAGGAGAACTAGTGTATACAGATAAAAAGAGTAGAACTGTTAATGCTTATCAAGATGGAAGACATATTTTTCTCATCATGGTAGAACAGGGATGGCAACCGATGGCAGTGTATTGTACAATATTGGAGGAATTACTTGTCTCTATGAAATCAGTTGATGATCGTGCATGTAAAATCGTCCGTTACAAAGAATGTACAACCATTCAAGAAATGGTCGAGGATAACCGGAGTGATCCGTTATATAAAGGAGGAAATAAGATGCTCTATGTGACGGAAAACATCAACGGTGATATTGTTGCTTCTGATTGCAATGCCCAAATAGTTGTCGTAGTTAACAGTACAGGTGCACTGCGATATCATTTTAAAGGACATAGGTCGTTCAAGGGTAAATATACTCCTGGCTCCATTGTCACTGATTCAGGAGGTCGTATCTTGGTGGAAGATGATGGGAATAATTGTATCCAAATCATCGATCAGGATGGACAGTATTTAAGACATCTGAATTATTGTGGCATACTGAGCTTAGATGTATTCGGGCGACTGTGGGTGGGAAAATTTATTGGTAAAAAAGTGAATGTAATCAAATATACAGAATAAAATGTAAGATACATGCATTGTACATACATTGTAGTTTTAGTCTTTAACCACAGAGCTTTTAGTAAATGTATGTATATATTGAGTAGAAATATATTTTCTCTAATTTTATTTAAGCGCAAAGCGGTAAAATGTGAATTTTTGAAAAAAAACACTTTAAGGTATAAATTTCATCCCAGAATACTGTTTCGATCTTTTCAAAGACTGGAGACCTTAATGTCTAGTTGTGTAGATTGAAATGGTCATTTCAATCGAGTGATATTTTGATTAAATGCGGAGAGCTATTATATACGGATAGAATTAAAAGAGCTGTCAGTATTGTCAGAGATGGCAGATCTACCAACTTCATCACGGTGCAAAAAGGATGGGAACCGCTAGGACTCTGCGGTACAAAGTCAGGCGACTTGCTGATCGCTTTGGGTACTTCTAATGTGGGAAGTTATAAAATTGTACGCTACGAAGGACAACAGATCAAGCAATAGATAGAGAAAGACGACCATGGGAATTCTTTATTTAAGGAGGGGGAACAGAATGTTCGCCAATTGGGATATATATGCTTGTGACGTCAACGCCAGGGCCGTTGTTGTGATAAGCAAAACCGGGAAACTCCGATTTCGATATAAAGGAATGGAAACGATGGAGAGCAACTTATCCCATGTACCATCGTCCTGGTGGGTGATAACGGGAATAAATGTATCCACATCATTGATAAGGACGGACAGTTTCTCTGGAGTCTGGAGGACTATGATAGATTAAGTATAGACGATCTAGGTCGACTCTGGGTGGATGAATCCGGAGGAAACGAGGTTAAAGTCTTCAAATACATCGAGTAGTGAACAACTTTTGTTACATGTGTTATAACTACACTCTCAACAGCAAAGAACTAGTCCCTCTATGCTGTAATGTATGTTTTGAATACAGTTAAATGTCAAAATAGCAGATGAGATATGTATGTAATGAAGTTTTACTATATAGTGTGCAAGTAAAGATGTTTGCAAGGGAATTATATAAATAAAATGTTTTGTTATTATCACATGTACTAGATAGATTTCCCAACCAACCAATCACCCCCTGCATATCCACCACCTCTCTAAAAAGAGAACTAGAGATACTGTGAGTACTGACTACTGAGTTTACAAAATGATACCCCCCTCACGTCTGCCTCCCATATGATTATAATGACCAAGTTCATGTTGTGCTCTAGGAGACCCGAAATAAGTGCCAGATCAAAATGTAAAACTAAAGATGCACAATGGCAATATATTATAAAGAATCTGTGAACGTGTCATTGAATTTTATTCAGTCATAAAGGATGAGGTGCGGATGAGAGAAAGGTACCCTTCAAAATTATAGAAGAATGGCAGTGCCCACGTTTTGCTCTGGGAAACCTAAAATAAGTATCCGATCAAAAAGTAAAATAAGGGGAGCACAGTGGTACTTTAATTTGTTACCAAGATTCTGTTAAGTGTCATTAAATTTCATTCAATGGTATAAGAGGAGTTGCGGATAAGAGATGAATACCCCAAAGTGTAACAGACCGACGGACGGACTTACAGACGGAAGGATAGACACCCCGATTACTATATACCCTCCCACTTTTCAAGCGGAGGGAGGGGGGCAATTTAAGAGAGCTTTGGGAAAAAGATATTTTGTTAAGTCGTTTTTCAGCCACCATTTGGCAGCGCTGTGGGTAGCTACAGAACTGCTGTAGAGTTATGGTTTTATACATTAATCTTTGACAAGTTATAGTCAAACACTAATATACGACCATAACGGTACAGTTCTACAGCTAGTTGTAGGAGAGGAGGGATTTCACCCCACTCTCTTTTTTGCAAAAAAAAAACTCCAACAAACAAACAAACAAAACACACACACACATTTGGCCCAGTTTGGAAGAAGTTCCTTAAATTGCCTCTCCCCCACCCTCATTCCTATTCAGACTATGGGTCTGATAATAAAAGTCACGGCTTCTCCTCTTTTTAGAGTCTAAATGGTGCGTTTTCTTCCGGGTGTTTTGATTCAAATGTTTTTTGTGAATTAAAATATTGTATTTTTGTACATAAACCTCTGTTTTAAGTTTTACTATTTTATTTGTTTAAATTCTTATTGTTGGAAGGTTGTGACATGATACTCAGGTGACCTATAAGACCCGTGGACCTCTTGTTGTACATAAACCCCTGTTTTAATTCTCACTATTTTAAGGGGGCTGGGTGGTCGTGGCCATTTTTAGACTATTTTGATCTCCATTAGAAGAAGAGCTCCATATAAAGAAATAATAAAATGATCAAATTTTAAAGCTAAAATTTATGAAATTTTTCTTTGCCAAATGACAGCTTAAGGTATCATTTCCCAAAGTTTAAGTTATATCTGGTAGTTAATAAAAAATAATAAGTTGACCCCCCTAGCCTCCTTAAAGACCCAGACGGAACACCATAATATCTCTAATACAAATGACATCTGTTACCTGATCACAGGACGCAGGACAGTTCTAAATCGAAAGTTGACGGAATAAATTTGCCATAGGCCCATCTAAAAGCTTTTAGTCAGTAAGTAACAGCCCATGTAATTGTTTCAATTTGATGTGCTCTTCACAAGAACCACTTACAGGTTTATCTTATACTGACTGGTATTTTCAAAAATGAGTACCTCAGACACGTTGTACATGTATTTGTATAAGTTGTACAAGGTGCATACTTATCAGTACAGCCACGTAGCATTGTTTTTGAAAGTGGGGGGGGAGTCAGAGAAATATTTTTTTTCACTTACCTGAAAAAGTTGACAAGCAAAAAAAAAAAAAAAAAAAGGAAAATTACCCAAAGTCGAAAATGGTAGTGGCCAACTTTTTTTCATTGTCAAGTTCTTTCAGTACCAATTTTTTAGCATTCAACATTACATTTCCCTTAAATATATTTCCTGTAATATACAGTGGGGGCCAACCAACCTTTCAGTTAACATTTCCTATGGTAAAAGTAAGGTTGGGAAAAAAAGTGCCCCCCTCCCTCACTGTGTAGAAACGGACTAGCGCAAAGTGCGTTACCCTAGTCCAAGATGGCGATAGGCACATACGCTTCGATTATTCTGCTCTAAGTTTCAGCGTTATACAGTCTAACATTATAATTTTTGTTGTTAAAATTGAAATATTTCACACAGAAGAGAACATATTTGCGAAAAGTTGGCATGAAATGAGCTAATTAAAGCCAGATTGCGTGTACAAAATTTGCGCATGATTAGGGTAAAGTAAATTTTTGACTAGGGTAAACATATTCTGAGCATTTTTGGTGACTAGGGTGAAGTAAGTGTAAAATGTCATTTGCCTTGTTTCAGGACCTAAAGGGTCCTATTTTGAGGGATGTTTACTCCTTTTTGGCACCTGATCCGACTTCTGGAATTTCATTTTCCAGGGGTTTGTGTTTTATTCCCTGTCCACAGATTTCTATTGTAATAGTTTGTAGTTTTCAGTGATAGATCATTGTTCGATATCTTCACCTTTTACATTCAGCATGAGACTCGACACACACACACACTTAAGGTCGTTTCTTAAATTATTACACATTGACATAACACCATGAAACTAAAAAATTCATTTTGAAATAAAGCGAGTGCAATATGGCGAAGTACTACTTTTTGCAGTTAGGTTTTTATAATCCTCAGTTTAACAAACTAAGTAGGAAAAACGGCGCTCTCTTTATTTAGATGCAGCGAAAAAAATCAAACATCTACCGATCAATTAAAGTATACAGAAAAGGGGGAGAGAAAGATTTTATTAATTTTCAATTTCTTTATTTTTTGTTTGCACTGACGTGTGCATAATGGCAAGAAGTGGGGTGTTTGTAGTATTCTTTCACTGGATCTAAGATCGGTAAATGGTGCAAAAATTAACACTGTTGTATCTACTGACGTAACTGGCATTTAGCATTTCTTCGAAAGAGAAAAATTAATACAGCTCTAAATTCTGGCTTCTGATTCTTAAAATTTCGGTGAGTTTTTTTCTTTAAAGGTGTTTCTTTAACAAGATGAAAGGCCAACTTTTCCCCAGACCATCTTCTTTCAGTACATGTACCACATTTTTTTTTGTTGCATAAAATACTATGTTATAACTCATATAAATTTACTGTAACAAAAATAAGGGGGGCAGTATTTCATTGAACATTTTCAATTATAGTAAAAGTTATGTCAGGCCTCCTGTCCGCCCCTGTTGCTACGTGCATTGGGCACGATCGAACTCTGTTTTGTTAATGTGAAGATTCACCTGGTGTGTTTAACTGCACACATCATTGAGCACAGACTGACAATACTGGTAAGTTGGTTTTGCTTTCTATTCTAATTTTTCTGGATTGTAGTTTGATAATTTTATAAATAAACATTTTTTTAAACTTCTCATCAGTGTTAAGAATAAAATTTGACTCAACATGTTAGGATGTATGAATGAAACGCGTCCCAAAATTCCTAGTTTCAAAAATTTGCGGATTTATAAAGTAAGTCTTCTTTAATTATATTTCCGTGTGAAATGCTATGGAAACATACTCCAAACAGACTCCAAATCTGATGTTGACACCAAAGTCCGATGGTCTGCAGGAAACCTCGATGCATGCATAGCTTGTTGTCGCATATAAGTTATGTAGTCAACTATATATATAGACAAAATATTAAACCGAGAATTTGAGAAAAGTCTGTGTCCAAGCACCTATGATAAAGTTACAAAAATATAATGTAAATAGAACATATAAAATCAGTATTATTATTTTTTTTATTATTTATCATATTCATAAATTAAGTACCATCCGAATAAACAACGCGTTTTTTTTTATTGACTTCTACGACTTTATGACATCAAATATAGGCGTCGGAGCCCCCCCCCTTTTTTTTCTGTTGGTCTAGCCCCCCCCCCCCCCCCCCCCGACTTTCAATTAGCCCCCACTTTCAATTTGCTTCCGACGCCCATGCATAACATTTGTCAAACAATACTAAAAAAGCCCCTCAAAATCATTTTGTTTGTGGATATTGATACATCTATGCCAATCATAGTACATCGTCTAAAAATGATTAATTTATATCCATGTACTCAGCAGTTTTATTCAACTTTTTTTTATATCGAGATACATGTACGTGAAACGATTAATTTTGCTTTCATTTTTCTATGCAGGGTACCAACGTTGAACTTTAAAAAAGTTTTTGTGTACGCCTAGCTACGCCCTGGAGAATATTGTAATTATATGTTTGAACACTATGTAATTATGAAATGTTCAGAAAATAATTACACGTATACTATTCAACATTTGAGCAATATCGTGTATGCAAATTGTGTTTTTAAAAAAAAAACCAATCGGTATATATATGTTATCTTTGTGAAAGCAGAAGTTTTTTTAATATTTTCCAGAAATTCTTTCTCAACTTTATTAATTGTATATTGCATTTGTTCTGCGTACCCTTAGTTTGTAGAATAAATAACTTTACCTAGTCTCGAAAAAACTTTACCCTAATCGCAAAAAAACAGTTCATAGACTTTACCCTAATCTACGACAAAACTTCGTAACGCGTTTTCTGGTTAATTACGCAGAGTTGAATGTTGTCTCTTTCTGAGCAAGGAAAACTGTTGATGCAAAGCAAAATGGTGCTAAACAAAGTAGGGGTTTTCATTAGAATTCACCGATATTTATTCATGAATATTTGAAGCGTATTTGCCTATCGCCATCTTGGACTAGGGTAACGCACTTTACCCTAGTCCGTTTCTACACAGTGCCCCTGTTGCTACGTGCCTGCAGTATCTTCTGAAATGATTATGTGAAATGGTTGAATGCCCTTGAACTCCAATGAATTCAGTATGGATGGCGAA